TTCACCGTTTAGATTTATTGGTGTTGCCTTATTTCACCGTTTAGATTCATTGGTGTTACCTTATTTCACCGTTTAGATTGATTGGTGTTGCCGTATTTCACCGTTTAGATTTATTGGTGTTGCCTTATTTCACCGTTTAGATTCATTGGTGTTACCTTATTTCACCGTTTAGATTGATTGGTGTTGCCGTATTTCACCGTTTAGATTTATTGGTGTTGCCTTATTTCACCGTTTAGATTTATTGGTTTTGCCGTATTTCACCCTTTAGATTTATTGGTGTTGCCTTATTTCACCGTTTAGATTATGCCTAGGCCATGTCACCTCGTCTACCTACACTTTTTTTTTTGTGTGTGTGTATGGGTGGTTGGTGGGTGCTCTGGTGTGGTCTGCTTCTTCTTTCCTATCAAAAACATCTATCGTCTTTATCTCCCCTCCTTCTTTTTCATGTTTGTTACTCTTTTGTAACACTTCTAATCTTCTGGTGCTCATAATATGACCGTATGCAGTTGCGAGCGCTGTAAAACCTCTTCTAAAACAACAGACAAATCACTTGGGGGAGGGGGGGGAAAGGATGTTATCTGTTGGGTATGTAATATGTTTGAAGGACGCTGCAGAACCACAAGGCAAGTGAGACAGAGAGAGAAAGAGAAAAATTCCTGTGTATGTGGGAGATATATGGTCGCTTTTAAGGACAAGCGGGCTAACCCAGATTTCGAGGGTTTCCCGAAATCTTGACCAGCACCAAAAATGGACATTGCCCTACCTAAAGGAGAAGTTTAGTTTCATTGGTGTGTATATTTGTTTGTTATAGAGAAAAAACTTTCCTTGTCTATTAAGGAAACTGAACCAGGGTCCGAAAATTTTACCTTCGATTTTCTCAAAATAGCATTTTTCAGGATAGCTCCCTTGTGCTTAAAAGCGACCATATGTGAGTAAGTGTAATGTCTTTTGTTGTTATTATGTTGTTAGCGATCCAGAAGCTCCTGAGCGTTAACTCTTCGGCATGATGCCGTTCGGTAATAGCTGCATGTCTGTTCTAATTGTTGTCTTGAGGAGTAGAGGCAATTAGATGTGTGGGGTAGCCTGGGAAGAAAACCCCCTTAAATCAGTTAGTTTTCTACGGAAGAACAGATGATGTTCCCCTGTCTCTGAGGGGTAGTCACATAGTGGGCAGACAGCAGACTGCTTTACTCCAATTCGGTTGAAGTAATATCTTTTATGGTCGTTTTTTTCTTCTTTCGCCAGGCACAAAGAGTTCCGAGGCCGACTGATTTTGCACATGAAACGACGGCATCAAGCTAGGAGGATTAGGGTAAGTTGCTTCGCTCGGTGCAAGCCTCCTTTCGGGTTTCTTTTCGTTAGACTCCCCCTCAAAATGATGAAGTTTCTCTTCTTTTTCAACCTTTTTTTCCCCTCTGCTGCTTTTGGCAAGGCTGTTTCTGCATTTGTTTTCTTTTGGGGGGTTATCGTTAAGTTCAACAAATTCATGGCGCAGTTTCTGCGTTATTTCCAATTTTAAAGCATTTTTGTCTGTCTGTCTGTCTGTCTGTCTGTCTGTCTGTCTGTCTCTCTCTCTCTCTCTCTCTCT